TAATAGGAGGTCCCAATTGGCGTTTGTTAAAGACTAGATTAGTTAGAGGAAAAAACTATAGGGGCATCTTTAGATTTTATCCCCATTTATTATGTATTGTGGTATAGAAAGTTACTCGGTTAAAATCTCAGTAAATAAAACAATTTGGAAATTACTAACAAGTAGAATACAATGAACTAACCCATCTATCCATCAAAGCCATAGGAAATCATTATTATTTGGGTGAAATTACTAGGCTATGGTATCAGGTATCCTATAAGTCTGCACCTTCAGATCAAAGTAAAAGATGCTGCAGTCTGAGAAACGTACCTTGAAGCGCCAGCTGATACCATCATAATCAGATCCTCGTCTTTAACACCCAAGCCACTCAATTTTTCAAAATTTTTCATCTCCTTTCCATTGTACAACAGCTGCTGCTGCTGAAGTGGTACTTGGGTCTGAGCAGCAACAAAGTCAAACAGACAGAATGAGATGACCATTCAAGTCTCAACAACCAAATCAACTGTTAAGTTGAAAGAAAAGTTGATCCCAACGAAAATTAAGAAAGAGAACTTCCACTCAGCCTAATCGTAAATGTACAATGTTCTTGGATCACAAAGAGTAGCAAATTTGCCATCGCGGCAACCTTGATAATAGGAGTTGGGTTTACGCGATAAAGATCCAAATGTCAAGTTCCATATCAAAAATTCCCCCAACTACCGAGCACAATAATCAAGATAATAGAAAGATTCTCACCTCAACCTCAAGAAGAGCTTTCACGTTTTCAACCTAATTGGCAGTAAAAAGGAAGAACTCTAACATCAGGGGGCAATCCAGGGTAAGAAGAAAGTGAGAATAATTGAAGAAACGAGATAATGCAGGAAATAGGAGTTGGGAGTTCTGAGAATAAACGAGATAAAGAAACTTACAGATTCATTAGGATCAACATCCAAGGAAAGAATCTGTTCGTCGGCAGTCATTACAGTGATTCTCATCTTCTTCTACTTGTTCTTCTTCTGCAAACTGAATCGCTTATGGTACCTTGCTGTTGCTCCACGATGCGGAAGCCTTCGCCTAGAAATCTGAGTTAAATTACGGAGCTCGGCTTCTACTTTACGAAGAACTTGGGGATTAAGAAATCTTTTTTCTTGCGGGTGAGATAAAAGAACACTCCCCAAAAGTTCAGTTTAGTCTTTTTTTGTTTCTTTTTTTCTTTTTTTGGGGGCTTTTGCAATTTCCCAATTGGATGTTAGTTGAAGCGGTTCAAATTCTAGGGATTGAATTTGCTTCTTCATAATTTTTCCTAATTTTTTTTTTTTTACTAAACCGATCGTGACTCAACTGATAAGACACCTATTTTTAACAAAATATCCTATGTTGAAATCTTCACTTTTACATGTTGTATTATTTTAATTCAACTCATCCAATTTTTCCGTTGATGATATATATTTTGAACTAAGATCAGATTCGCAGTTTCAAACAAAATATGGGATAAACTCTAATTATTTTTTCGACCTAAAGTTAGAAATTAAATCCTCATGTGTTTTTTTTTTTAATACAACCAAGTAGAGATGATTCCATCTCACGACTTTTTAATTGAGAATATAGTTGAGTTAAGCTCGTATTATCTTCATGTATTGTCGATCTCAAAAAAGATTGTTGTTATGTTTGATCGATTTAAAAGTTAAGCAAAGTTCATGATTTCAAAACTTGTAACCCTTTAAAAGTTACTTCCGTAGTCAAAATAAATTTTGAAAATTATCTGGTAAAATCAATTTTAAAATGTAAGATAAAATAAGAGAGTGTATTTAGAGGATATTAAATGGTTTGTGTAATATTTTCATCTATCATCGGTATCATATCAATATATCAATATGGGATTAGACATAAATATAGGAATGAGTTGATATTTTCATAACATCCAACAAAATAAAAATATATATATCAATAAAATATTTATAGACATGATATTAACGTCAATAATTTTTAAGTTATTTTAAATAGTAAAATATTTATTTTTAAGTTAAATATTTGTTATGACTATATTTCTATAAAATCAAATTATATTTCATTATTTGGTTGATGTAGAAGAAAATCGTTATTTTATTTAATTCTTTGATTAAAACGTCACTATTGAACGAGAAATTTCGGCTAATTACTAAATGTCACGTTACAAAATTAACATTTGGGACTAATGATAAAATTACACATGTCCTAAATTAATTTTAAAATCGACTAATCTAATCATGTCGTGTGTCTCCCTTATGGTTGTCCGATGAAATCAACTAATTGGATCAAAACCCATAAAGAGATTGGCCCAAGCCCACGACCCATTAAAACCCATGACCCATACAAGACCCACCAAACTCTATAAATAGAGTAGGTCACCTCTCATTTGAGGGATTCAGAAAGATCCATAAGCATTGGATATTCAAAGCTTTCAGAGTCATCTGCAACCATTTAGAGCGTGAAGCATTCAAAACCAAGAAGACTCGAAGAACTGAAGTGGAAGACTTGAAGACTACGAGACTTCAAGAATTCTAAATCTTCTCTTCGCCAAGCAACGGACTGAAGAACTTCACAAGCTACAAGCCGAATAACTCACGAATTAAAGTACTTCATCAAGCTGCAGATCTCATCAAACAAGCCGAAGACTTCATCAAGCCACAAACTTCGTCGAGCATCAAGCTTTACAACCGAAGACTCTAAAGATTCTTCAATACGCTAGAAGCTGAAGGCGTAGACTCATTGATTCGAGAATAAGCTCACAAGCCCTCGAATTAAAGTTCACATCTATGAGAATTAATTAGAGGATCACAATTAGAGATTGTAACACTATATTCATTAAATACAAATACAAATTCATAAATTCAAGTTTTCACTTATTGAATTTCTCGTCCAACAGTTACATAATTGTTTGTGATTTCAAAACTTGTGATTTAACTTCCAAAAATTACTGTCTCGTGTCTTTTGGTTAGATCAAATTAAAACATAGATAAAATTAAAAAAAATACATATAAAAATAATAAATTTCAATATAGTTTTACAATAAAATAACTATTTTGATCTGGATCGCTATGTTGTTTTGGCACATTAGAGTTAGGGATGACAACGAGAGAAGTAGAGCAATATGATTGTTAAAAGTGATTTTTCACTAGTCATGTGTCGACATATGATATGCTCAACTACTAGTGACTATATGCTCAACAATAATGAGCTATAGTGACTCACACATGAAACTATAGCTTGGACCTTTGTAAAGGTCGAGCCGAACTACTAACGACGACCATGATCCATGTTCCATGTCAAGTCGACCAAAGTCTAACGTCCCAGCCATTTGAGATATTAATCTAACCTTATACCTCAATTGCTTGAGTTATCAATCGAGTCGACCTATATTTACTTCTGCAGGAACAAACCTCTAACAATCGTTAGGGGTTTATCGGAAGCTCAACCTATAAATAGAGAGTTTCTGAATTATTTTCAGGTACACGAAACTATGTTTTCTCGGATATAGTTTGATGAATTACTGATTTGAACGTCGGAGTGTACTTACTCTATTTTGCAAGTCTCATCCTTGCATCATTTCAGCTGGTTTGAATAGTTAGCTCGTTTTGTTACTAAACTTCATGGATTTGGTCAAATCTTGAACAAACAAAGGTCTTCCCGTCCCTTTCCTAGATAAAATTTTAATCTATAATTAATTTACCTATCTTTCATTGAATTAAGTATTCATATCATAGTCAGAGGCGGTGAGGAGAGAATCAAACGGTTGATGTTTGAGACAATATAAATACAATATTCACAATTTTAGGATATTCATATTTGTTTATTGTTTTCATTCATTTTGAAATTTTGATTACGTTGATATTTAACATTGAAAATAGTAGAGAAATTACACTAAATAGTATAAATTTATTATGTATTTTGAAAAGATATCATCATTGGATATAAGTTTAGTTTCTATTAGTTTATTTCATGTTACGTTTGAGTTTGATTTTGATCGTTCATTTGTCATTCCATCCCGATACACCTTGGAAGATATTAGACGATGAAAAACCTTCCTTAATTTCTATTCGCTCAACTGTTATATAAGATTGAGCCTCACCATATGACCTCATGATCTACATGAGGCCTACAAGAAGTTGCACCCTCTCTTCTAGTTTGGACACATGGCCGAGCCATTTCACGTTCAACATGTGAAAGTATAATTGAACCTTCGAAATTTTGATTTAGTATATATATTAACTAATTAAATTTAATAATATATTAACTAATTAAGCTATGTCATAGGTTGACGATCCCTCAATATTTACGACTTATAAGAGAGGGCTTTACATTTGGTTACAAATCCTTACAAAAATATTTAAATGTGACCTCGAGTTCATTCCATAATTGTCTCGTACTTTGCAAGTATCAAGGATTCATATGCAAAAATTTTCGAGCCGCCCAACTCTACTCCCAATAATTACATCAACCTAAATAATTTTTAAATAATTCGCATTAACACAAGACTGGTAAAACCAACCCTAAATATAGTTAAATTAAAGCATCTCTACTTCAAATAGTAAAATTCTCACTACTTATTTTTCTTCAATAAATAAGATAATAAGATTCTCAATTTTGTAAAGGAAAAAAAACAACGGATATAATTTGTAGCTAATCTTATTTTAATCATAATTACCGATTCACATTTAATTTACGTGACTTATTTTTGGAGTATAATCATCTAAGTTGAACTTTTACCATTCCTAATAATAAAGTATAATAAAACTTTGACTAAATTGAAAAAAAAAAAAAATATATATATATATATATGTAATTTAACTAATTCCTAAAGAGACGCAATGAGTTATGGAGAAGAAAAGACATGACGAGCGAGTGCATAAATTCAGTAACATTTTCGTCTTTTCCTCTTCAACAATGATATCCAAAAGTGGACGCCAATTTTAATTTTTAACTGCCTCCAAAGATATTGAAACAAATCTAAGTTTAATTTTTCCTTCAAAATCACGTCTCGATAAAAGAAAACTAACGTTCTTCAATTCTTTTGCAAGCAAAGAAATGCAGGAAAAATACGCATCTTCGATCCAAAGTTCTTCAGTACTCAATTGCACAGGAAGAGAAAATCAACAGAAAGAAATCAAGATCATAGAAAGAGATTGGTTGACTCACCATTTTGAACAAAAAAGAGAAAAAATGGCCGCAATATTTACTCTAATACGAAGAAGAACATTCAAAAACATCTCTGTACAAATGCCACATCCAAATCGAGACGCGACTTACAAATTCTCTACGATCTAATTCCATTCCGACCTCTACCAGCACTGATCGGTTTCCCACCGCCGGTGCGGCGGCCTCGGGCGGGATCTACTCCCGACGGAGTACAGATAAGAGCGTCTGGTGAGAGCGGCCAAAGCGAGGTCGTAATGAGCCCTAGTAGCAGGATCCGAAAGCGTCTCGTACGCATTGTGAATCTCAATGAAACTAGATCCATCGCAGTCCGATTTCCGCGACGAATCCGGATGATAGATCTTGGCGAGACTCCGGTAGGCGGTCTTGATCTCGACGGAGGAGGCGTTGTGGTTGACTCGGAGGATGTCGTAGAAGCTGGCGGAGGAGCGGCGCGATCCGGAGGCCAGAGGTGGCGCGAAGAGCTTGGCGGAGGCGGACATGGAAGAAACTGCGGAGAGGGAGAGGGAATCGAAAGTGAATTTGGAGATCTGAGAAATGGCGATGGTGGTGAAGGAGGATTTTAATGGCAGGGGGATTAGGGCTTTTCCAGGGGGACTGAGCACCAAGATTAATGAAGAAACCGTAAGGCTCTGTCGGTTTTTGAGACGTGTTGTGGAGCCCACACGTGGGAGATTTATTTWTTTTTTTTTTTCTTTCTATTTTTCTCCTCGTGTTTCTAGAAACTTTTTGCTTATGATATTTTTCATGTCGTGATGTTTGCTGACTCGGACCGGGTTGATTACGTGTGGCCCAAGGCTGGACCGAGTCGGGTCCATTATTAATTTGATCATTTGGTCTGGGTTAAGTTCAATAGTTCGTTTCGTAGATACTACGTCAAGGTTTTTTATCCGATTATTTCAAATTCCAAGATTTTAAATTATAAAAATGATTTCAAATTTTTAATTATATTTGCAATACAATAAGTTTTGATAGAGTTTAAATAAATAAAAATTAAATTTTTTGTTTGGATGTACAAGAAATGAAAATAAAGTAATTATTTGCATTGCCTTCCCTATTTTCTTTATTCTCTTTCTTTCTCATCTTCTTCTCCCTTTTCTTTTTTTTTTTATTTTTTTATTTTTTTATTTCATCTCATTCTCCATTTTATTTCTCTTTTTATCTCATGTCATTATTTATATACTACTGTAGTACTACTTCCATCTCAGAGTTTTTTTTATTCAATTTGATTTCTTCAATTTAACCGATTGTAAGGGTAAAATTGTAACGTGGTCAACTTTAAATTAAAATATACCAAAATCAAACCTATTTTGGATGGAAATTTTTTGGTATAAAACTAGATTTCAAATTAGATTGGATTTCAAATTCTATTTTTTTAATTCCAACCAAATACGGAAATGATTTTAAAATCATTAAGATTTCAAAATCCTCACGAATCCGAGCTTCCAAACAAGGGTAAGGATGTGTTTGGAAGTGATTATGCCATGGTCAAAATTACTTTTACCATTGTAAAAATCACTTCTCTTCCCGTTGTTCAGAAATTAAAAAATTGATTTAGGAAAGCTTAAAATATCACTGGTGGATGATTTTAGAAAATCAATTATGTTTAAATCTCTTTTTTCAAAATCAATAATTTTACCATCACTCCCAACAAGCACAGCTTAAATCTATGTTAAACTTTCTATTCACATGGTACAGCAGAGTGTTTTTTTATTTGTGTTAGAGTTTAGAATTAAGAGTGAGTAATAAAAAAGAAAAAAGCGGTGGATTTTCAGGTGGGTTGAAATTGGTTTAGGACAATTTTTTGGGTTAACCAACCATAGAGACTAAATTGAAATCTGTAAATCCATTCTTAACTAACATGAAATTATAAAAATCAAATTAAAATCCAACTTAAATCATAAGAAGAAATTTAGTAATTTAATTTTTTTTTAAGGGAGGTTGGTCTCTAGGACTTTTAGTAAATCAATATATAGAGTTAAAAATGCCTAGAAATGAAACTATTATATTAGTATGGATTTGGTTGCTGACATATTTTGATAACAATTAGTTGGAGCGATAGAGGATTTCATTAATAAATTAGCACTTGGGGAAAAATCTATCTAAATCTTTTTACACTATTAAGACAACTTGATAATGACACATGAATCCGTCGAACTAGAAAAAAGTGACCACAATGTATCTATTTGGATTCTCACCATATTGAGGCAAGAACGTATTTTTTAATCGCCTAAATAACTTTTACCCCTTTATTAATGAAGGGATTTCTTTCTTTAACTACATGGGTCATGAGGTAATAAAATAAACAATTCATCAAAGCTTAAAGTTGATTAAGCCTTCAAATGTATGTTTTCCAATAATGGTAAGATAATCAAATTGTTTTGAAAATCATGAGAAAAGGACATCCCACCCCTTGAATCTTTTTGCACTTCCAAAGATAATGAGTGATTGTTTTTAAATGTCTTTGCAAATTGGGCAAACATTAACCCATAGATTTCCCTCAAGACTAAGAATGTTCAAAGAACGTTAACTAAACGATTGCCAAGTAAATATTTTTGATCTATTAGAAATATTCGACCCTCAAAGAGATTCTAATAGGAAAAGCATGATGGGAAGGAAGACATTTATATCAACTATGAGTATTGTGCTTATTTGGAGTTTAGATTTGAGAAATTATAAGAAGAGGTCGCACAATATTGTTCATAGTTTTACATCATTGGATGCCTCGAATGTATGGTTATTAAGGAGCAGGGAGATTTTAGAATATGTATTCAACCGTTAATAGGAAGCAACCAAATATACTGTGGCAGTTCCATTCAATATTTTTTCTTAAACTTGATTTCATCTACCTTCTCGAAACGTCGATTACACTTTTTTTGTTCATCTCTAACAAAAAGTTGACACGAATTACCCATTTGTTTATCCAACTACTTATCAAATTATGCTAACTTCAATAAAATTTATCTCAGGAATATGTCACGTTAACGTAGAAAAAAAAATCAATCTCAAACATCATTAAAGGAAAAAACTTCTCCACTAGAGATTAAGGAAGAGCTTTCTCATGAATTCTTGCATAGTCTAGTAATATTTAAATAAGTGGATTTTTTTATTTTACATAATTACTACGTGATCTTATCTATATGTTACTGGATCATACAGGAAGTTAGAAAGAACTTCCTTATGAATATTAATATATGATTAGAACACAATATTAAGTTATTTCAACTATATTGTTCTTGCTAATTGAAATATAACTAAACCAGGTCAAAGACGTCAATTATCTCTCTAGAGTTCGAAAGTTCAAATTCTCTCGGCCTTAAGAACTATAATATCTCTCAATTTATCATCCTTATCGATGTCATAATTGCATTATCGGAGAATTAGAGGTAATAATTTCACTTAAGAGGACAAGAGGGTGGGGTGTCCACGTCGGTGTGGAACATGTGTGGGGTGAGGTAATGGTCTTCTAGAAGGATATCCAAATCTGCGGTCGCTGGAAGAAATCAATTCTACTGCAAGTCTGTAAGAAATTAATTAAAAAAAAAGAAAAAGAAAATGGTGGGCCAAAGCCTTCTAGAAGATGGGCCCACACGCTTACCTCCCATGCTTAAAGTTCCTTATCCTATCCACGTAGGATAAAGTGACATTGCCAACAAATAAAAGTGGTTCCTTTTTCCTTTGGATGTCATGCGTCTTATCTATTCAATTATGGGTGGTGATCGAATATTGTAGACGACTTATGTATTGAATTATGTTATATTTGAATTTGATTTATTTCTTATTTGAATTGTGGTTGGGATTAGGTAGATTAATATTAGTATAAATGTGTTATTAGATTTGTATCTCAATTAACGAATTTAATTAAACTTTGATCGTCTATGTATTTTCTATTTTCTTACCCCCCTAAAATTTATAGGTTGGTTAATAAATATTTCACTTTTTCTTATGTTTCTTTTTGTTTTTGTATTTTGGGGTGATTGTGTTCTAGAGGAGGTTTCATTTGCTTCATGTAAATAGGTAGAATTTGAGTTAAGAGAAGGGCTGAGAGCTTGGGATTTGGTAATAAGAGATTGGGAGAGAGGAAGGCTATCACATGCTTAAGTTTAGGTAGGGATAACCGTAAAAGTTTCGATGGTGTTTATGCAAGAAACCGAACAAGGTCAGACCTGGTCAAGGTTAGACACGTGGAATAGCTGACTCCCCTCGCTGGGGACGAACTGCATAACAGGGGCAAACTCTCAAACACTCAAGTCAGTAATCAGTTCAGACTAAATAATAAGTTCGAGATGGAAAGCAATACTTATATGCAGAAGTGATGCTCTCTATTTCTAGGTTGAGGATCCGACAATCCTTTCGACAGGCGATTATCAATGTCGGAGGTCAAGTCAGACATGTTCCAAGCTGCGTATCGAACTTAAGAGTAGATCACCCCACGGTATGGTTAACGTAATAAATATTCGACGAAGTGTGTCACCTTGAACATGTTCGAGGTGGACCTGACTTTAAGCACGTCCAGGTAGACGTATCTGTGTCCTCCATGTGGCGTTCTGACTTTCATCCCAAACAGATTGGATTTCACGTTATGATAGATTGGATTTGGAATGGAGTTGGTCGAGTGGAACAAGGATAGATAGTTCATTGCCCTTAATTGAGAGGAGTGGAACAAAAGAAATTGATTCTAAGGCTCGCTCGACCACTTCTACCTCTTGAAGGGGAGGTGTACTAGAGGACAACTAGTTAGTGGGAAAGGTCAAATTAGAGAATAATTAGCATGTAATTACTGATAATTTAGTTATGTATTTGAGCTTTGAGCTTTTTATTTTATTTGAATGAGGCCCACGATTGTTATATGAATATTGATATGCTATGTAGATTAGATTAAGAAATGATAATTTGATATATGTGACCTAAGAGATAAGTTAGCGAAATATCATCAGGGTGGCCACAATTTTTTATATGTTAGACGTTTGAAATATGTTTTGAACTAATTTTATAGTTTATTTGCCCTTATTTTATCTTTACTTATACAAAAAAAAAACTTTACTATTTTTTTAGTACATTTGATCCCAATACACATATCACATCGAGTCAAAGTGTTTATCTATCAGATTATCAAACTATGTTACCTCATCTAGATTTTAAAAAATGATTGTCTATCTGATTTTATCAATCAATATTAAAGCGAACATCACTCAGCGGTAATTGACATATATCTACAATCAAGAGATTGTGAGTTCGATCTTCCACCCCACATATTCTACTAAAAAATATATAAACATAATTCTTAAAAAAAAAAAAAAGAGATAAACATAATTCATAAAGTCTACAAATATAATTTAATCTTTTTTAAAATTTAGCGACTAAAGGAACCTACCTTCAAAATTTAGAGATGAAGCGGACCATAAAACTCATATTTTACTGCTGCAAAAAAGCCAAAAAGAAATAAACCGAAAAAAAAAAACTGATATTTTTACGTTTTACCTTTTACTGCTTTGGATCGTTATTTCTAAAATATTAGACCATCATTCGCCTCTTTTTAATGTGGGCCAAAGCTATATGATTGGGCTGGTAATGGGCCAACCTGTATATTCAAATAG